TAATGCGTTTCAGGTTTGAAGGGTGGGGCAGCCGTTGTAACTATACTTGAGACCTTAGAACTTATATCTCAAGGTGGGTGGAGCATTTACGTTGTAGATGTCTATGGGCTCCAGTAACCACTTAAGACCAGATGGGCTGTGAGCTCGTCCACCCATCTAAACAATCGCTTGGAGCCTCTGGGTCTGCGGAGGGACTTCGGTTCCCTCTGTATTTTGTACCGCATTTTCCATGGGGAGTGCTCTGAGGAATTGTTCGAGATGATACCAACGTCTCGTTTTTACCATCGCACCGCCCGCCACCGGAGTAGAGTTCATCCGTACTACCTGGAGCCACTGCGGTCATCCACAGTGCGTTTCCAGAGGTCTTTTTTGCCACGTACCATCCGGCTATGGAATGAGCTCCCCTCCACGGTGTTTCCTGAATGCTATGACATGTCCTTCTTCAAACGAGGCTTGTGGAGAGTATTAAGCAGTAGGCAGCGGCTTGGCTCTGCTCCTGGCATTGCTGCAGTCCATGGGCGACGGTAACCACTTACCATCAGGTGGGCCGTACGCTCGTCTGCCTAGAAAGGCAATAAAAAAAATCCTTACAAGTAGGGGAGCTAACGGGGCTCAAACCTGACTACGTTGCTAAGACGAACCCTAGCAAGAGCCGTGCTTCGCAGAATCTACCATCGGATCGGAAACGCGACCCACTGAGAAGATCCGGCGAGAAACTCAGTGGGCTGTGTCTGTGGGTTAATTTACTCGTCGAGCTCTTCGTCGCAAGCGACGGGTTCGACGAGAACGATGACCGGATTATGTTAAGACTTATCCCCGTCGGTTATACAGTTTGGATTTCAGCGTAGTTTCTAGATTCTGGCAGGAGTATAGGTTTTAGTAGGTATCGATGTAGATTATGGCAACAGTTCCAGTCGGGCTCGCTTATTTCTCTAATAACAGAGAAGACTAACGATATTTCCTAGTTCTTGCAGTTTGCACGTTCTGGTATTGATTTATTTTCCTTTACCAGGCAGTAAAAATTACACTGTGTGACATGATATTTCTGTTAAGCCACCTGCGGTTTCAGCCTTCTATTAATATTAGCAATGAATTTTTTTTTATAGTCTAGAATCTAGATATACATTGATTACTTTTTAGGCGGACCTTGTTTTGTTTACATTACTTCGCATACCTGTAGTAAAATACCTACACAAAAAAATTATAGTGTCGCCAGTAAAAAAAAAAATTAACAGAATATGAGTTGTCAGAAATTCATTACCTCCGTTTAGTTTTTATTTTTTAACAAAAAATGTATACATACTTACTGGACCTGAAAAACAATTGTCAAAGAAGGTACCTACTTCGATATATGTATGTATGAATAAAAATAATTGAAGTGGGTACTTGTTTTATCTTTGAGTAGCATTGTCTTATTGATTTGAACGTGTATTATAAGCCACAAGGGTAGGTACTATCGTCCTTCCTATTTTTGCCACGAAGTGGTCATATAGGTGCTACGTTTTGAAGCGGGACCCTCACACAATATTTCGACCTCGTCTCAAGGCTGCGGCGGCTTTTTCTTGTCTATGGGCTCCAGTAACCACCACAAAACGATCGCTTATTATCAATCTACATAAAGGAAATGTTTGTAATAGAAAGTAAATATTCTTTCCGAACTGGGAGTTTTTCCTCAGTATAAATAGTCTGACTTTGTTTAGAATAGAGTTGATAGTGTAGAGCTAGTTCCCAAAAACAATATCGTAGATTTGTCAAGTTCATTTATTATTATGTTACATTGCCGGGGATATGTTCTACACTCTTCAGTAACTTTATTTTTCGATCGTTGCTTACTATTTTTACCCCCAAAGGATTAAAAATAACTTGCCTACGTATTTGTTTCGCGTTTTTTTTTATTGCCCTTGTAGGCAGACGATCATACGGCCCACCTGATGGTGAGTGGTTACCGTCGCCCATGGACCTCAGCAATGCCAGAGGCAGAGCCAGGCCGCTGCCTACCGCTGATACCATTTTATAGATAAGTATTTATTTAGCCGTGGAATCTTAAAATTAGGTCTGACTAGAACTTAGTACTGGATGCGAGAGAACTTAACGTCTAATTTCTTTTTAAATTATCAGTACCTATGCTTTCGTAATTTTCAACAAATAGCTTTGTTTTCAACATGTCAAAGATAAAAATGACCGCCAACATTAAACCTACACCAATGTCAGGCCGTTATCTGACAATCACCTTTGCAAGATCTTTATTGATTTTTCTATCGTTGAAAATACCAGCTCAATTTCCGTTTCATTAGATGAGGGGAACCTGGGGAACTAATTGTTTAATCTGTGGATTATTTGAGATAAATATAATTCCGTTACCCTTTTTATGTTCGCATTGCGCCAATCACCGCAAGCTGTGGTCATCACTGCGTTAACAACTGCGCTACTACACACCTATTCACTTAAAAAGTGTGGACATTAAAAGGGTTTGCGCTATGCTACGTCCTTATTCAAACATCAAATTAAGCAGGCAGGTATCAATGCGTACTCAAAACGTTTTGCTGATAAATTCCACGATTTAGGAATAATTTTTTATACCATAAATTATTCTGGTAGCTATTCAATATCAGTTGGGCCGAAGATTCGTGCACACATCTAATTGCAAAACCACAAACCTATTGTATTATCAACTAAATCCGGTCGTATTTTGTTAAGTGAAGATTGTATTTACTTCGAAATTTCAAGGTTCACGAAGATTAAAGAAGTTTTCTTATTAGAATGCAATTTATAAGTACACTAACAGTACAATGTATCTGGTCGATGACATCAAGAGCTACGATCTGAAATCAGCACAATGAGCGAAGACGAACGAATTTCAAAATACTTTGTTTCCCAGTAAAGAATAATTATCATTGTAATTTATAACCCACAATCTAATGTACCTACCTAGTTCATTATAAAATGGGTTACTTTCTAATGTTTATTTTGATTATTAAGTTAGTAGACGAAGGCAATGATTAATTAATTAATAATGATTACATTAAGGTGACCTGGGAACTCATGTGCCTCCGCTAATAATTAAAAAGGTGACTATATTTCAGTGCAACCATCCACTATATCTCAGACATGAATTAGAGAAGCTCTTAATTGTGGGTCGCATAGAGGGCAAGTGCGCCGTGGGCAGAACACCAGCCAAATGGTCAGATCTAGTAAGAGAAGCACTTGGTGGTAGTCTGTACCATGTGGTCCATGCCACCCATGATCGAACATAGTGGAAGAACGTCACATGTGGTCGCGAACCTCAGCAGTGATGGAACGATATAGAAGAAGATCCACTATACTACCATTTGACATATTTATTTTGGTATTGAATTTCTTTCGTTCTAAAAGCTTATGATGCATTTTTTTATCCAGTTATATTTGTTCGTTTTTTCTCCTTAAAAGCAATGATATCTAAAAACTGAAGCGAAAACATCAACGAGGAAAACATTTCATTAATATGGCACATGAAAAGTATTATCTATTTTTATAGTCTGGGAAATCCACATGATGCTATATCAAAAGCATTATGGAACATAATAATAAAATAGGTATATTAATATTACATAATATATATGATATATTAATAATATTAATTCATGCTTGTGTGATTTAGTATTTCCTGTCCTTCTGTCTGACAGTCCTACAAGCACATCTTGAATGGGTGGTGATAGGAATTAAGACATATTGTTATAGATTTAAAGTACTTGGCTATATCTGTAAATTGCTTTTATCAGTTTTGACTATATATACAAAATGAGTTCTTCAAGTAGATGTACTGGCAGGAGAGAAAATTCTGTCGTCATCCAAAATAACTTCCTGAATTGATAATGTGAACTGATATAGGGTCAATACAATCTACATCACAAGGAAACTACTCAAAATCCCACAGCAATAATACAGGACATTTTACCTGTTAAGTCAAAGATAATCTTAATACTACTTTTATAGTTCAATCAAATTATTATCAATGTTTCGGACACTGCAATTTTTGTGGTCACAAATTAAGACAGTACTACCACAGGATTAAATTGTAAAATTAGTTTTAATTATGTCAATGACTGAGAACTGAAGAATTTATCGACTGTAAGCTGCCAATACCTCCCAATTCACATTTTTATTGAAATTGTTCTTTGCACCATCTGTTAGCTTTTTATCTTAATGTTAGAAGTGGCTACTTTTCTTTGTATTTTTCTATACATTATAAAAAAAAAAAAAACTTTTTAAGAACTTACACCAAGAAGAAATAACATGTAACTGATTTTTTTGCCAATATTTTTTTATGGAAATACCTTCTAATTTACTTACAGCTCTAAATGTGAATGTGATTTGAATATTTTCTTCTTAACAATATAAAACTACAGTACAAATAATAAACTTTGATTTTGGGTTCATAAATACCATCTATATTTTATTAAAATTTTAGTTATTATAGTCTCCTGTAAACTTGCCATCAAAGCACTTACGAGCTATCGGCAGCTTATGATCAATATATCATCACTATTACTTAATTCAATATGAAACAATCATTTAATCAACATTTCTGATATTACATTTTCGTTAAGTTGCAATGACAACTGTTCGGTTAATTTGTGTCTTTACTTAAATTTCAATGAACCAACAAACCAATACCCACTGACCTATGGATAAGCACTTTATTTCTAGTTGAAATTCAGAGGTGTAGAGGTGAATTCAAAAAGATGTCAACTTTTCAAAATTTGTTTTGTAACTGTTGTTGATAGATTCTTTTAATGTAATGACAACCATCATGCCTATTGATGCCATAAAGCAGATCATCCTTTTCTTGGAAGATTTTGATAGCCATTGGACCAATGTATTCAACATAAGAGCATGTTGCAAGGTATCAACGGAATTCCAGTAAATGCTTTTAATTTGCAAATTCCTACTTTAAGGTGGCCCTTTTTTTGATTTAATGAATCCTATTTTGTGATGATATTGCACTAAAAATAAAATATGGGTTAGCTTTTTGTATTTCATGTATTTTGAAGTTGCTCACGAAGCCAAATTAAAAATTTACATAAATACAATTTATTTTGATAATTTTTATACAAGACGTAAATAGTACAACATAAGATTCACTGTGAAATCATGTTCGATGTGGTTAATAAAGTGAAAATTATACCTAAATGCAATCATTGTTCTATAAAAAAAAAACAAAAAACATTTCAATGAGAGATCAGTTAAATGATGTTACAAGCAAATTTTAGTAAGACTGTCCGATAAGTCTCTTGCATAGATAATCAAACTTTGCAAATTGAAACACTATCTTCTGTACAAAATTAATTTTAAACCAGCATAATATATACATTGAAGTCTCCAGGTATATTTTCTTTATTCACTATTCATATTAATAGTAAAAAAATATGCATACCTAATATTGTAACCAAGCTACATGTGAATGGGTAAACAATGATCTGTGGGATCGCCCAGCCGTTCCGAGGCGAACAAGGTGAGGCAATGGATAACTGCAAAGGGACCGGCGCCGCGGCCCTCATCCACTAATAATAAAAATTTGATCCACAATAGTCTCTCACAAGTTACTCTGTTTAGGATGTGTAACATAACTTGCACTCATAAGTCGTGATATCTCGTTGGTCGTGTGGCGCGCACGGTCGGCACCGGTGCTCTCGTGCCGGCTATTCAGTTGTCCATGGCGTATCTCCGCGTCCACTCCTTCGCGTTCCTAATAGCTTCACTCTCGTTCACCTTCCACAATTCGGCAACGTCGTTCGCCAGCGGATCGTCAGGGTTAGGTGCTGACAGCAGAGCCTGAATAGACAGTAGCACCGTGCGTATTTGTAGAGCTGGACTCCATTTATCTTTAAGAATGTCCAAACAAATGCGGCCCAGTCGGTCTATATTAGGATGATATATTTTGGTGATAAACCTAACCTTAGGTGCCGACATGGGGTAATCCTCCGGTAGAAATAATTCTAATTTGAACAGTCCTCCTTCGAAAGGCGAGTCCTCTGGGCCCGTCACGATAACGTGGAAGTAACGGGCGTTTGTCTCGCTGGGTACTGCGCTGATCCCGGGCACCGGCTCCTGCATCAATCGCTGTGTCTCTTTGATTATTCTACGTGGTAGGGCTGCCATTTTAAATATGCGGTCGAGCGCAGTTTGTCAAATGGAAGCGATTACTCATATAATTGTATAAAATATCTAATTATATTAGCACTGAATGTGTTAACGACGCTTGTTGAGGCACGTTTCCTTATATTAATGAATTACAATAGCATTTTATCTACGAAATTGCAATAAACGCGACTACAAAAGCGAGTGTTCTTTAGTTTTTTTTTAACCACAGATAATATAGATTTTCACCAACATAGACAAAATGTAGAATTTAGAATAGGGTGCGTTCAATATATTTAGATGTCTTGAAAAAAGCCTTTTATATAAACATGTATTAGTTTAAGACAACAAAAACAATTGTTTATTAAAAGAATAAAATTCTGTACTAGGTTGAGTGCCTGGGACTGAATAGGAATCACACAACACTGTTAAACAACTTGTGGCGTGTTTGAAGCCTGCTAACACTAACTTGTCTTGTTATACAGACTTCAATCTATTTAGAAGAAGGCGCAAAAGAGCTTATGAAAAAAAAGGGAAGAATGAAAGATGACAATAATAGAAAAATAGTAGAGAGGAAGAATTGTATTCAGCCCTTAATATAAAATCCAAACAGGAAAGCGTGTTTAATTGAAAAGAACCTACATGAAAGTTGTTAAAACTGTTACGAAAGTTTCGGAACTTGTTTTTTATTTTAATTGTGTTTTGTATGCTTCTGAATCTTTCGTTTCTACCGAAAGCGAATTGCGCACATGATTTTTTAAAAACGAGACCTACAGGCTGTTCAAAGTTTTATGAAACCTATATTTTTTATTCAGCTGACAGAAAATGATAAATGTGAAAAACGTAGGCTCGTAAACAAATTAGTATTTATTATGAACCTATTGTGAAAATGTTATTTTAATGAACAGGTCTACCTAAATAAAATCACTTAGGACCGCGGTCAGCGACATCTAATACAGGTTTAAAAATGACGTGATGTCAGCTACTCGTCAACAGATGTCTAATTTTGTTTCATTAAATTTAGAACATCTATGTGTAGAATCTTCAGTATTAAGACAAATTCTCGTTATCAATGACAAATAAGGTTATTATATCATCGACATATTATAGACATATTATAATATTTAACTTAACTACAGTCAAAATCTGTTATAACGACATCGAAGGGACTGCTCATATTCAGTCGTAAAAACCGATAGTCGTAACAACCGGTGATGTTCAATGTGTATCGTGCAAGTACAAACAAATCGATAGGGAATTATTGGAAAAATATATTTATTTAATACGCGATTTTTCTTCAATATTAATTTGTTTTATTTTTCTTTGCGACATTTTGAAAGTTTCACGAATAACTCCACAAAGTTTTGGTGCGTCTTGTGTATAGATAAGTAACAGAGATATGAAGAAGCGGGCTTTGACTACCGCATGCACGTGTTTTGTTTCTAAGAATTAGAAAAGACCCTACACTAAACTAAATCCTATTGTTTTCTTTCCTGATTTTAAAAGCCATTGAAGATAAATGTGGATACCTATTCAAATTGTTTACAATACAGCTTAGCCGGTCGTTCTAACAGATCTAATTCTCCGAAATATTAGTTAAATGTGGTCGTTTTATGAGGTATGTCGTTATTACCAATGTCGTAGAAAGCAATATTTTTAATAAGGCGGTCATATGGCATTCAGCCGGGACCTTTGTTCTTGGTTATTATAACCGGCATGTTGTATNAAAAAAAAAACAAAAAACATTTCAATGAGAGATCAGTTAAATGATGTTACAAGCAAATTTTAGTAAGACTGTCCGATAAGTCTCTTGCATAGATAATCAAACTTTGCAAATTGAAACACTATCTTCTGTACAAAATTAATTTTAAACCAGCATAATATATACATTGAAGTCTCCAGGTATATTTTCTTTATTCACTATTCATATTAATAGTAAAAAAATATGCATACCTAATATTGTAACCAAGCTACATGTGAATGGGTAAACAATGATCTGTGGGATCGCCCAGCCGTTCCGAGGCGAACAAGGTGAGGCAATGGATAACTGCAAAGGGACCGGCGCCGCGGCCCTCATCCACTAATAATAAAAATTTGATCCACAATAGTCTCTCACAAGTTACTCTGTTTAGGATGTGTAACATAACTTGCACTCATAAGTCGTGATATCTCGTTGGTCGTGTGGCGCGCACGGTCGGCACCGGTGCTCTCGTGCCGGCTATTCAGTTGTCCATGGCGTATCTCCGCGTCCACTCCTTCGCGTTCCTAATAGCTTCACTCTCGTTCACCTTCCACAATTCGGCAACGTCGTTCGCCAGCGGATCGTCAGGGTTAGGTGCTGACAGCAGAGCCTGAATAGACAGTAGCACCGTGCGTATTTGTAGAGCTGGACTCCATTTATCTTTAAGAATGTCCAAACAAATGCGGCCCAGTCGGTCTATATTAGGATGATATATTTTGGTGATAAACCTAACCTTAGGTGCCGACATGGGGTAATCCTCCGGTAGAAATAATTCTAATTTGAACAGTCCTCCTTCGAAAGGCGAGTCCTCTGGGCCCGTCACGATAACGTGGAAGTAACGGGCGTTTGTCTCGCTGGGTACTGCGCTGATCCCGGGCACCGGCTCCTGCATCAATCGCTGTGTCTCTTTGATTATTCTACGTGGTAGGGCTGCCATTTTAAATATGCGGTCGAGCGCAGTTTGTCAAATGGAAGCGATTACTCATATAATTGTATAAAATATCTAATTATATTAGCACTGAATGTGTTAACGACGCTTGTTGAGGCACGTTTCCTTATATTAATGAATTACAATAGCATTTTATCTACGAAATTGCAATAAACGCGACTACAAAAGCGAGTGTTCTTTAGTTTTTTTTTAACCACAGATAATATAGATTTTCACCAACATAGACAAAATGTAGAATTTAGAATAGGGTGCGTTCAATATATTTAGATGTCTTGAAAAAAGCCTTTTATATAAACATGTATTAGTTTAAGACAACAAAAACAATTGTTTATTAAAAGAATAAAATTCTGTACTAGGTTGAGTGCCTGGGACTGAATAGGAATCACACAACACTGTTAAACAACTTGTGGCGTGTTTGAAGCCTGCTAACACTAACTTGTCTTGTTATACAGACTTCAATCTATTTAGAAGAAGGCGCAAAAGAGCTTATGAAAAAAAAGGGAAGAATGAAAGATGACAATAATAGAAAAATAGTAGAGAGGAAGAATTGTATTCAGCCCTTAATATAAAATCCAAACAGGAAAGCGTGTTTAATTGAAAAGAACCTACATGAAAGTTGTTAAAACTGTTACGAAAGTTTCGGAACTTGTTTTTTATTTTAATTGTGTTTTGTATGCTTCTGAATCTTTCGTTTCTACCGAAAGCGAATTGCGCACATGATTTTTTAAAAACGAGACCTACAGGCTGTTCAAAGTTTTATGAAACCTATATTTTTTATTCAGCTGACAGAAAATGATAAATGTGAAAAACGTAGGCTCGTAAACAAATTAGTATTTATTATGAACCTATTGTGAAAATGTTATTTTAATGAACAGGTCTACCTAAATAAAATCACTTAGGACCGCGGTCAGCGACATCTAATACAGGTTTAAAAATGACGTGATGTCAGCTACTCGTCAACAGATGTCTAATTTTGTTTCATTAAATTTAGAACATCTATGTGTAGAATCTTCAGTATTAAGACAAATTCTCGTTATCAATGACAAATAAGGTTATTATATCATCGACATATTATAGACATATTATAATATTTAACTTAACTACAGTCAAAATCTGTTATAACGACATCGAAGGGACTGCTCATATTCAGTCGTAAAAACCGATAGTCGTAACAACCGGTGATGTTCAATGTGTATCGTGCAAGTACAAACAAATCGATAGGGAATTATTGGAAAAATATATTTATTTAATACGCGATTTTTCTTCAATATTAATTTGTTTTATTTTTCTTTGCGACATTTTGAAAGTTTCACGAATAANCCTTTGACGATACATTTTGAAATTTTCGGCAAGGTTACCTTTGAAATCCATACTGGGTAAAAGTGGCAGGAACCCCACACCTGACACCATGTTTGTTGTGGATGTTTCAGTCATTGTTTTGATTATAATAAAACTATAATTGAATACTTAAATCACTCATTTTAATTTTCTTCAGCGTCCATCTTTTACGTTACATTTTTTATCTGTGTTGCCAGTCCTATAAACATAGATATAAGATAGGAAAAGGCGAATCATCTACGGTGTCTTTTTACGAAATGTCAATTAAAAAAATACTAGTTTAAATTTCATACAGCACAACATACATACATTTTAAATCCATCGAGATACAATAGTATTTTCCTTCGTTTTTCGGTTCGTAGAGGTAATTAAAATCACCTTTTCAGTTTATAATATTGTCTTTATATCATTTCTAACGTTTTACAAACTGTAAACAGTTAAATTGTTACAGTAAAAATATGTAATTTCAATTATATCTATCGAGGTAGCTAGTAGACCTTCCTAGTTGGGTTAAGCGTTGAGTGCGGCACGCGGGATATGTCGGAGTGAACCAATTAAAGCTTCCTTCCACTCAACAAACACGCATTTAAACTTCTGATGATACAGAATTTATCCGCGGCAGGCTGGGAGTAAGTGACATCACAATAATAAAAATTCGAACGAAATATTCCTTCAACTTTCGGATTGTTAGCAAGCAGTTAATTTTCCCATCGTCACAGGTGCGTAGGAGATAAGTTCGCCACCTTCCGTACCTTAATCAATGTGGCCATTGTTATAATATTTATTATCAAGGAATTTATCGGACATTTTGGAGGACATTTGATAGTGTCAATCAGCACTATACGTATTTTACATTAGGTTCACAGCGCTTTCTACCTATGATGGGTATTTCATATCCCTTTGTGTTGCCTGTGTGTTCATTAGTGAACTTTGATATTATTAACTATCTAGGTACCTACACTTGAAGGTACTTTAATAATTGGTGTTCTAGATACTTTAATTTAATAGTAATAGAATACGTTTACTTATGTTGTTAATTAACAAGATAATCAATTTAAAATATGTAAATCTTGTCTCTCACGGACACGTATCTATCTTTCGGCCCACAGATGTCCACTGCTGGATATAGGCTTCCCCATGTCTCGCCATCGCCATCACAAATAAGTCCCGCGCTGTCTGCATGCAGCCAATCTCCGC